CAAAGCGAATAAATATGTTTTTAATACCTTAATATACCATTTAATATCGTATATATATAAACTTAAAATTTGAATAAAAAATTCAAGGATTTGGCCCCATTACATTTTTAATCAAGATTATCCTTGAAAACATAAATATATCAACAGCAAAACAGTGCAACTGGAACAGCATCCAGCGCTGTGCAAACGCCATTTTGATTGAATTTTTATTCGCATACAGACATCCCCCGAAATACACACGCAAGGACCATAAGGACACATTTGCCAGCCAGCCAGATAACCAAGCTTTTTCCGCATTGGGAAAGCTTTAACTGTATATTGCTCTCGCTTTGGCCGCAGCTGCTGCAGAACGAGATGTTTTCAGAGGGGGTGAAGGTGGGGGGAATAAGGGGGTCGGGGACTGTTGCGCATGTCCTTAGCCGCAAGCTGCGTACTTAGGCGATGATTAATTCGCCAGGACAGCGGCGAAAGTTGCCACGAACCTAGGAGATACTTTAAAGTATCTTTAAAGTAAGTGTCGAAACTAAGGAGTGAAATATTTAAAAATGGCCGACGAGGCATAAAGGACAGCTGCTCATTCTCAGGCAGCCCCTAGGATTCGTTCCCAGCTAAAATCCTGACAGCAATCAATCAGATCGCACAAAAGATACGCAGCCAGAAAAAAAAAGAAACCAAAAAATTCTATAAATTCCCGACTGGCTGCTCTTGAAATCCTGCGCCAAGGTCGAGCCCTTAGCTAGATGTCCTTCGAACAGGTCCTTCGGCATTGTTCGACATGTTCCAGTTGTAGTTTTTGGCAAATGCTTGCCAATTTCTTACCCGAAACTCCTTTCGCCCGATTCCGAATCGGATTCGATGCCGAGGCTCATTTGTGTTCATTATCGTCCTGCGGCGCGCCGCCAACGGAATCCTTCCACGCCAATTCCCTAGTTTTCGTCCTTTTCTGCATCGCCCACACTATGCGTGTGAACAATGCGGGCATTCACTTGTACGCAGGACTAAGCTACATGTGTCTCGATTGTGTCCCTTTGCTCTACATTTTGCCTCCTGCCGCTGCTGCTAATCAGCGCCGCTTTAATTAGCCCACCTCATCAAGGCCACATTAAAGGCGCAAAAGGATTGCAGCAGTGTTCGGGGCATGCAAATGAGTCACTTTCGATACGGTTTAAAGCTAATCCTGCATCGGTTGAACTGCGAAATGGTTCGGAGAAAAAACAGGATCTGTAAAGTGATCAATTGAAAAAGATTTAGCATGGTTTCATAGGCTATTTTTTAGGATGGGACTTACGTAATAAAACTTTTGTTTTAAGTAGAATAAGAACGAATTTGTAGACTGTCAATAAATAAATAATGTTAATAAATAAAGTTACTAAAAGTTGAAAGATCAATAAAGGCAACTACACTAAGAAAGTACATTTTAGACTACATACATAGGCACCAAAAGACCTTCGCCAGAAGTTCCATGAATCAAAGAAATATTTTATTTCGAAATTAAATTAATTTTGAATTTAATATTTGTTCACACAAAAAAATTTGATTGGTAAACTTGACCTATACGGAGAGTTACGTGACTATTAAAAAAGGTGCTATAAAAATAGTAAAGAATATGTTGTTTTTGCTTTGGGTACTATTTCGTTGTTGTGAGAGTAACTATTCGCTTGGTAAAATTGACTATTCTGAGGTTGGGGACCGTTTTACTATTATATTGATTAAGATTTACCAATCGTTTTTTTTTGAATAGAATAGAAGTTAAAGTTAAAGATGAAAGCGTATTTCTAAAATCCAATTCTAATTTCTAATAAAGAAATGCAAAAATGTTGCAATACAAAACTGCAACATTTATTGCATGCATCTGCAACAGTGTTGCTGTAAGGACAGCTGCAAGCAGTGCATCCTTGCCCTGCGTTACCATCGTGAAAGCGGGGGTGGGTTTGTGTCCAGGCCAAACGGATACGTTTTCGAAAAAACTATTTGTAGAATGTAAGTAACTTTTTTTTTCTAATCAGAAGGATATATAACTGCATTCCTACCAATCCAACTGGATATTTATTATTCTCGTTATACTTTCAGACTCCTGACCACAGATGCCGCTCTTGGACAGATTTCAGGCAGCATTTTCTAGGCTCAACCGTTAAAGGCCAGTTTAAGCTTGAAACAAATTCCGAACCCAAACATACTTAAATGTTTCAAGAGTTACGGAGCTCCCTTTTCAAGCTGTCAAATTGAACACCGACCTTGGCCATTAATCGTCCCATTCATGTCAAATTTGTACAATTCGAATGTCAATGGAGTGCGAGAAGGAGAAAGTTTTCCGCCAGCCTCCGACGCGCCAGCAGAAAAATCAATAACTCCGAACGCGTGAATTTCCATTAACAATTTGTTTTGGGCGAACTTGAAACGTGAAGCACACAAAACACGAAGAGCCTTGAACCGATGCTAAAAAATAAATTAGAAAATTCCTCCGCACCCGCGAGCACATGTGCAGGAAAACCCAGTGAAGTTTTCCACCTCCAACGCATTGTAGCTGAGGCCATCGACTCTGCTCTTCAGAACTAGGGTTTTCATGGGGTGTGGAAGGGAAAATCTGGGAAGCGGGGAGGTTGGCGCCTTGCCTAATTTGAATACATGCGTAGGGAAAATTTGTGTGTGACTGAAAATGGAAATTCTGTGTGCGATTCGCTCACTGACTGACTGACACATATTTGGACATGATCAAAATTAATGACCCGGTACTCGTATAGGCGCAGAAACCCAAGCGCGGAGACACCTTGGCACACACATTAGGCTGATGCAACATGAGCTCTGAAAATGGGTCGAAAATGGATAAGCCGTATTTTTTTTTGGGAAAAAGTTAGATTCTAAGGTTCAACTTTTCGTTTTTATTACAAATTATAATGAAAGCAATTGCGTAGACGGCTTGAAAAAATAATATTTTTATACCCTTGCAGAGGATATTATAATTTCAGTCAGATGTTTGCAACGAAGTGAAGGAAACGTTTCCAACCACATAAAGTATATATATTCTTGATCAGCACCAACAGCCGAGTCTATCTAGCCATGTCCGTCTGTCCGTTTCTATGCGAACTAGTCTCTCAGTTTTAAAGCTATCGCGATGAAACTTTCTCGAAAGTCTTCTTTCTATTGCAGGTAGTACATATGTCGGAGCGAGCCAAATCGGACCACTATATCTTAAGGCTCCCATAGGAATATTCAAACAAATATAAGAAAATTCAATGTAACTTTGTAGGAAGTAGGCGTTTTGATTCTTGACAACTTAAAAACAAGATTTAAATAGAAAGGCTGAATCTGGAATCCCTGGAACTGCACCGAGTGAGCATTAAACTATAGGTATTTACTTTATCTGCAAGGGTATATAAGCTTCTGCTGGCCGAAGGTAGCTTCCTTTCTCGTTAACTTTTATGTTGCTTGCAAAATAGCAAAAAAATGCAACTTAAAATATTTTCAACGAATTTTTTGATAAAATCAAATTTATTTATTTAAGGAAAAAAGATGAACCATTTAACACTATTGTATTTGTATTGGTCTTTTTATAATGGAAAAATGTATTATAAAATATAACGAGGAAAGCCTTTTACTTAAAAAAAAACAGTGTGATGCACTACTTAAAAATATTTAAATTAATTTTTTATGCTTTTCTAATATTTGTGGTTAGTGCTCATGGTATATAACAAAATGAACAAATATTTAATATTGGTTTGGATCTTTGTGATTGACAATTATTGGGCTTCACTCTTCATGGTTTTCTGAAACGACCTGTAAGTTACTTTATTCCCACTTTTGTTAAGCCCACATCTGCATTAGCTAATCAATTCCTTCAGTCAGCTTAAAAGGGTAGATTGTGGATAGCCCCCACAACAAAATCACCTAACGATCGTATCTGGTCCGCCCTTGTGTAAATATCATTTCACGGATTCTTTTGCCACCGTTTAGCGTCACATGCAATTCGCCATCATTCCGAGTTAAACGCTTTTTTTGACCCGAGCTGTCGGTTATTAAAAGTCATAATTGAATTTCTTGTAAACAGTTGTTGGTTGTGAAAGATGTGGCCCGAACATGCAAAACCCCACAAGAAAGGGGTATGGATGGGGAATCCGGCCTGGCGCTGAAAATTTCGAAAGTATGAAAAAAGCAATTAAAACTGAAATAATGAATTCTTTCTTTGCCAGTCGCTGCCATGTTCCTCGTTCGAGGTTGGAGTTGAATTCGGAGTCGGAGTTGGTTGGTTGGCTGCCTTACTGGTGAAGGGATTGGCCTTCTTTTCTGCCGTCTTCCGTCCTCTCGCCCAGAAAATTTCCCGGGCTGATTAGCATGAGGCGTAACAGTTTTTAATTGCAGCCACATTTTGCCGAGCCCCGAATGTGCAGCAACAGAAACACATAATGATAGCAACACTTATCTTGCCATCAGAAAGTTGAAAAGTTTATACACTTTTTCAATTTTTTTTAACAATTACGAAAGTTTTTCTGCAGCGGCTTTCCCTCGATTTGGTTGTCTCCTGACGATTTTTGGCTGACTGCTTTGATATAATTGAAAATAGATAGTTTTAGTTACACTATTCTAAAGTCAATTCTTTGTTTGCTGGCAGTATTTAAATTTTGTTTTACAGATTAGACGAACGTGATTTTTCTTGATTTACAATTTTTAATTTTAAATGCAATGTAAACTTATAGTCCAATTTTTTTTATACTCATACAGGGTTATAGAAAATACTTTAAAATAAACGGGTTGGCATATACCATAGTTTTACTAAAATTTTAATAAGTAATATTTCCGGTCTGTATTTATTTGAAAGAATCTGTAACTATAATTCTTCTCACTCTATATTTGTTTTTTCAGTTAGGGTTTAAACTTATTGAAATCCAATTATTAATAAATATAGTTCATACGTAGATATTACAAACTTATTAGAGTATTTTCGGATTGACTTAATTATTCCATAACTTATCGAAATCACTATATCATCATGTCCTGCTGGTGTTGACGGTCCTTAGCTGCAGTTCCATTATCTTCCTAAGGTTGCCAAGTTATCTACGCCGCTTGAGACCATTGTCGATGTCTTCGCAGGAACTGCTACAAAAAATTGTCACAATTTACACTGATCGCTGGAACCTGGCCCAGAGACCCGTCCTTGACTGCCATAAAGTCAGTTCCGCTAAAAATCGTCGTAAAATACTCCAGTGAACTAGAAAAAAATAAAGCACACAAAAAATGTGCCTCAGTTCTAGTTTGGTTTCGAGAAATTCTGTGTTCGCGCGGAGGGAAAAAATAGAAACTGTAATACGCGGGACAATAAAAAAAACGACGCGCTGTAAAAACGTTTTAGAGCGAATTCGCCTTTGTGTATCGCGCATTTTGGTCATTGTTAAAAAATTCGAGCATTTTTTTGGGTCGCGACACAATTTTTTGCAGTAGTGTCTCCCGGATTCCTCTTGGTCCTATCCTCGTTCTCAGGTCCTGGTCTCATTTTCCATTTAAAATGCGCGTCGCACAAAAGTTTTTACTCGAATTTATGATTTTATCGCTTTATGACCGGAGGTCCTAATAAAACTTTATTGAGGCTGCCGACGGTCGTAGGAGATCTGCTCGAGTTTCTTACCGTAGTAGGCCTCGTTTGGTAGCCTCTAAACTGTAGCAGGGTCAGGTTCCTCGGGCACCGTGCATATCCTGCGAATTAAGCCAGTCCAAGGACGCGCTGGGTTATGCAAGTCTATGCAACGGATGGGCTTGCATAATAAAGGTAAATATTTGTTTAACTGGGAACTGCTCTAGTTAGCATTGTCCTAACAGCATTGTTCCAGCGCTCACCCCGGCACCGCCCACGAGCCGGGGAGAGAGTCAATAAAACCTCACCTTCACCTCTTACACAATATTTCACAACGATCTCGCAAATCCGGGGATTAGGCGCACATTCCGCCATTCTCGAACGGTTTCGGGCATCATGCCCGTCCGCAGTCGCCGCTTGCTCTAATTTAAATTACCATTCCGCATTGTTTTCGAAATGTTTTCTAAAAACTGACCTAATTTACGCCGCACACTTTTCTTTAGACGTTTTCGAGTAAGTCTTTCGTTTTTACGACCTAAAAATGGTACTATTTCCGCGAATTTCCGATAACTTTATATTGTGTAAGATTTTTTGAATAGGTCCTGTAGTGACGGATTTGGAGTTTGAAAATCGGTTTCGAGGAAGGGAACGGACTGATTAAAATTGTCCCTGACAATGGTCATTCCGGACAGAGAATGCTGATAAGTAATCCTATTTTTAGCAGCACTTTTCGTTAAATATATTGTTTAAAATACTTTAAAAGAGTATGTGCATAAAAACCAGTGGTCTATTTTTAATAAAACATTTTTTAATATATTTTTTAGACTTTGGAAATACATTTTGAAAAAAATTTGAGTGTTTAGCTTTTTTAAGTCTTATGTTTACAATATTTTAATATTTCAATTTAACAAATAATTAGGTTTTTTTAATTAGCCTAAAAAATAGTTTGTTACCTTAACCAAACCAACTAAAAACAATGTTCATCATAATTGCAATAAGCAGACAATCTTTTTATTAACTCATCCAATTTGTTAAACACTAAATGAAAAATATTTTAGTTCGAAAATATAGAGAAATATATTTAAATGGAAAAATGCAAAATAGCATTGTCGTAACATAACTCTAAAATCCGACATCTTAATCCTTTTCCTACCCAGTACTGTCGTTACAACTCAATTTCTTGCGAGACGGGGGCGTTGGCGGAAGGAAAGTCTGTTTTGGGTAAACAGAGCGAAATCCCTTCCCTCGCCCCCGCCCTGAACCGGCTATTTCCACCTCTGATTTCCATGATTTCTCTGATTTCCACGGACGAATCAAGGCCTACCTGCAAAGGGAAGACGCGTGTGTCTCGCATTAGAATGATGTCCTGTCGAAGGACGAAGCCTGAGATGCACGACGAAATCGAGGACGAGGCTCGCGCGACTCGACTCGGACCGACTTGAGTCGTCTGTTTATGGATGGCAAATGCACCGTGTCATGGGTCCTTAAGCGTCTTAATTGCCCGCGTATCCTTCGACGGCGAGCAGCGCAATTGGTTTCCAAGGCGGAAATATTATTGGCACATCATAAAACTATAAAACAGGCCGCAGGGGGCCCCCTTCCTCCTTTTCCCTGTCCAGTTCAGCTCAGTTCCACAACTCGGACATCGAGCACTGAGATTCAAACTGAGACCATCCAATGCCATCAGCGAATTCGACGAATTCCGAGGAGCGCGCGCGACTTCGATTCCCCGGCGTACGACTCGTCAGCGGAATCGCATTGACAGCCTACTCCGAACTCCCCGGAGACTCCGTCCCAATCATTGTTAATGGACTTCGTCCTTATTAGCTGTTGATGTCCCACGATGTCGAAAAGCTACGGGGCATACATATCTGTCTTCGCATAAAATAGTTATGCTCAATGTCTGCCGCAACGAACGTGCAGTAAAAATTTATTAATTATTCCTGGGTTTTTTGTGGTTTTTTTCTTGTGCTTGGTTTTATGGTTTTAATTCAGTTGTCCCACATCATTGCAAACAAATTGTAGCTTATATGGGAGCCGCGTTCAAGAGGGGGCCCGATCTATACACCACAGCCGTTAGAACTGAAAAATCATGTTGTAAACGAAGTAGGGAAATAAATATGAGGAAAAAACAACTTACTTTTTTGTCTTTGCGAGAATCGAACCCACGACCTCTCGGTTTAGAGTCTAACGTCCTACCGCTGCACCAGACCCATCGCGCAAGACGACGAACAAACTTCTGCACACATCTTATTTTCCTTGCAGGTCTACGTTATAATATGACTATATGCAACTAAACCGTATATTTATTTCCTGACGACTGTGACAATTAGTCCCGTTTTCTGCCCGTTTCAAACACAAAGTATGCTTTTAACTCAGAACTCCCATACGTTTTTAAGGTTTAAAGACTACTTTAATTTAAAATTCGGACGAAAAAATAGTCCTCAGTATTATAATGTTTACAAAAAAAAAAAAAAAACCTAAAAATCAATTAATCACACAGGGTTCGAACCCACAACCCTACGACCTTAGTCCTCATATAGCAAAGTTGAAAGCGCAAGTGATTAGACCGCGGCTACCGAATTTCACACTTTTGAGTGATTTTTAAGGCGAATCGCCATTGCTATTTAGAAAAATTTTATGAAAAAATTAGGGCAATTCGCCGTTGGATTTAGAAAAGGTCAAAACGAAGCAAATCGAAAAAAATCGCCCTAAATATTAGAAAAATAGAAAAATTAACCCTAAAAATATTTTTTTATGGTCACCTGCCTTAAATTTATGGCAAATTTGTCGTGAAAATAGAAAATTTTTCTCAGTTCAAAGGCGAAAATTTTTTTAGGGCGATTTTCTAAAATGTAGAAAATTATTTTTATGAGTGTACCCTTGCAGAGGGTAAATGATTTCAGTCAGAAGTTTGCAACGCAGTGAAGGAGACATTTCCGACCCCATAAAGTATATATATTCTTCCGATCAGCATCACTAGACGAGCGATCTAAGCATGTCCGTCTGTCCGATCTGTCCGTATTAAAAATCGGACGACTATATCATATAGCTGCCATAGGAACGATCGGAAAATTAATGGAAAGTAATACGAAATAAATTTTAGCTTTTTGGTTTTTATTGTATTCTCTTCTACTTTAGGACATGACTCTTTTTAAATATTCCCGAAGCTTTCCATTTTAATTTGCATCAAAATCGGACGGACTATACAGATAGACGGCCATAGGGACGATTGAAAAATTAATGGGAAATTACTTGGAAACAAATTATAGCTCCGTTGGTTTTTATTGTATTCTCTTATACTCTAGGATATGATTTTTTTTAATACGTTTCAGAGTTTTGAATTAAATTATAATACCCAAGGGTATAAAAATCGGACGACTATATTATATAGCTGCAATAGGGAAGGATGGAAAAAATAATAATAAAATAACACGAAATTTAAATTTTTTGCGATTTGTAAGTTAATAGGAATGATCTGGAAGGGTGTATAAGCTTCGGCTGCCCGAAGCTAGCTTTCTTCTTGTTTTTTTTATATGATTTATTTTTAAGACTAAAAACAGCCTTACCCAACATTTAGTTCATTCCGGCGTCTCTTTCATTCTCAGCTTTGTCTTTTTGGCTATATTTTTATGGTTTTTAATATACAATGTTTCCTATTATATTTCTTGTTATACCCTTGCAGAGGGTACAATTATTTTAGTCAGGTTCAACGCAGAGGAAACGTTTCGCCCCATAGTTATATTTCTTGTCAGCACCGACGAGTCGATCGGCCATGTCCGTCTGTGCGTCCGTCGTCCGTCTGTTTTACGCAAACAGTCTCAGTTTAAACATCGGAATAAACTCCATTCCCATGCAGGTAGTATATAGTTGGAACCGGCCGGATCTGGCAACTTATCTTATAGCTCCCATAGAAAAACCCGGAAAGAAAAAACGTTAAAAAAATTCTAGCTTCGGTGTTTTTTGAATTATAACCTTCTACTCTTGGGAATATTATTTTTAAAATATTTCTGAATTTCGAATAAAATCTACATAGAAAAATAGTTTTTCACATTTTTTTTTAATTTTTCATGTATTTTGTTGTTTTATTTTTTAGGTCATTAAATAGTATTTAATAAAAAAAAATAAAAAAAAATTTTTTTTATTTTTTTTTTTTTTTTTTTTTTTTTTTTGGTTTTCAAAATAATAATAATTTTTTAAATAATTTTGTAGAAAAACCTCTCCTTTTTTTTGGGGGTTTTTTTTTTTTTTTTTTTTGGGGGTATAAATTATAAAACCACAATTAATAACTTAACTCAACTATTTTTTTCATTCATATATTTTGTTGTTTTAAAAATACAATTATAAATTGTATGTCAACTATTTTTCTGGATTTAGGGTGGTTAGAGTATCCGACTCATAATCTCTGGGTCGTGAGTTCAAATCCCGCTTTTGCAGATGATGTTATTCTTTTTATACCCGTTACTCGTAGAGTAAAAAGGTATATTAGATTCGTGCAAAAGTATGTAACAGGTAGAAGGAAGCGTTTCCGACCCTATAAACTATGTATATTCTTGATCAGGATCACTAGCCGAGTCGATCTAGCCATGTCCGTCTGTCCGTCTGTCTGTCTGTCTGTCTGTCTGTCTGTCCGTCTGTCTGTCTGTATGAACGCTGAGATCTCGGAAACTATAAAAGTTAGAAGATTGACACTTTGCATGCAGATTCTAGGAGTTCCTACGCAGCGCAAGTTTGTTTCAAAAGGGTGCCACGCCCCCTCTAACGCCCACAATCGCTTATATACGATTTTAAAAATTTTAATATTTCGGAAAAGTAAAAATGCAGTTTTATTGTGTTTATGAATACCTATCGAAATGTAGAAGAAATTTTTTTAATCGGACCATTCGTTAAAAAGTTACGGCGGATCAAAGTTTTTATCTTTATCTCCTTCGCTCTCCCTTTAGCTAAGTAACGGGTATCTGATAGTCGGGGCACCCGGAGGCGGTCTCTCTTGTTTTTTTTATTAAGTGTTGATTTCAAGTCTATAAATTCCACCACCCCCCCTGGTGATCAAAAGTAATCTTTCAATAAATTTCAATAAATTAAAGAAAACAAGTTTTTAAATAAATTCTTTAAATATAAGATTCATATAAAATGATTACGTAGGGGGGGAATTTGTAGGGGCAATTTCGTCACCGCAATATGAATATAAGTAAAATATAAATTTTTTGTTTAGTCCTTCAAGACGCGACAAACCAATGCATTTGTTTGCACAGAAGGCCAAGATATTAAGCTATAATATTAAATGTGTTTTAACAGTTCAAAACACATTTAGTTCTCGACGAAATTTTTCGTATGCCACAATTCAAAAGGAATAAGATACACGATTTTTATATAATACACAGTCTATAATGTGCATTTCTGCATCAGTGATTTTTAACTCGCGCCTATTTTCGCAAGAAAAAT